ACATCACTCACAGGATGATTGGTTAATCCCATGTTAAAACAAAATTCTTTCACATGCTTTAAGAAACAGTAGCCACAATGATGATGTTCTTGAAGATAAAGATGTAAACAAAGTTTACTGATGTAAAGCAATGAGATGTTAACAAGGCTTGGAGATAAAATGATGCATTGAAGCAAAGCCATGGAAACAGACAGAGTAAATGATAGAAGCAATGTATAAAACCGTTTAAAGCCGTTTTAAATACTAAGAAGTAGATACAAAGAAAACTATATTCAAACAGACTGAAAAACTATGATAAATTTGAGAAAAAAAACTCTAGATCTCATGAAAAGAGACTTCTGTATCCAGGTTAGGGATTTAAATGCAAACAATTTCTTTAACACTTTAACTCTCATGAGTGACCAATACAGAATTTCTCATTACAATATCAATACAATATCAAGCAGACAAGTGATGAGAATAAAGAAAAGTATTAATTAGGGGATAATTAGTTGATCCAATACCAAATTCTCCAAACTAACATGACAAGAAATATATAGCAGACAGTAAGGAGAATTACTTATGAGATCTTAGGAGTTAAATAGTTACGTGTAGCTCCTAATTATTAATCCTCTGACCTGTAAGAGAGACTACCATCTAATTTCTCCTTGCAATATTACCCTTGAACCACACATTAAGGTTAGGAGAATAAAGGAAATGATCACCCAGTAAAGAAGCTCTTGATTATTACACAAATTCTCCATAGCAGCTCTTGGGAAATGTACAGTATACAGAACAACATACTTAGAGAATAAGCAAGCTGATGTTAGGATGCTAAGGGTTTAAAATAGATCATCAAGTGTTGGGAAAAAGAGGAGAGAAATTTGATTACACTGAGGTACAAAATTAGGTTGCTAAGATTCAAACTAGCAGTGTATTCCCTGGTTAAGTTTTGAGAACACCTGAAGCCTCTCATCTTAACTCCAAAACTTTGGAATCTAAAAACACTGTCAGTGTTATAATTGGTAATGATATTTCTGATTGCATGAGAGACCAAGGTAGGATTTCTCCTCACAACATCAATATAAAAAATTAAGGTGGCATGTGATCAGAGAAGAGATAAATATAAATTAACTAGAGAGATTATTAGTTGATTCAATACCAAATTCTCTGAACTAAATTCATAATAATTCTCTGGCAGACAGTAAGGAGATCTTGGGAGTCAGAGGGTTGAATGATAAGATTTTGAGGCTACGTCATGAGAGAAGTGTTTGAGTAAATCGATACAATCAAACCTTGATTATCCAGATTATTTGATTATCTGAACTTGATTCTCTGGTCTCAAAGAAATAGTCCCTCTTGAGATCTTTGACAATGTTTTCCCATCACACAGAGCTGAATTACTGAAACAATTTGATGACAATGACAGATAGCACTTTAGGTAGCAAAACATTTTTGTAAATACTTTCGGCAAATGTTAACAGTGAAGTACATTCATTAGAGAATATACCTTATATTTCTTGCTGGTATAAATCAAATGATACATTTTGGCTCATTAATATTTAATTTATAGACTCTGGAATTAATTGAGGTTCGACTGTATAACCAGTTGGGCAGTGTTTCTAACTTCCATACCTTGTTGCAGTCATAACCTTGATCTGTCATCGTTTTCACAAATGCTTACTCGCCTCCACGATTCCTTCCCATTGATACGTAAATACGTGAACCAGGTTTTGCTAATTTTGTGATGCACCGAGCGAGTAGCACAGAGTCGTCCGCTGAATAAAGACATTCTGCAGCGAGAATGAGATGAAACAGACCATCTTTTGTTAAATCTTCTGTGCTCTTCCCCCAACAATATTCCTCAACCTTGATTCTACTCCGACCAACTCCAGTCACATTTGCTGCCACGTTGTCTTCAAGAGTTTTTACACAACATTTCTGATCAGTTAGAACGGTCATTTTCGCACCTAACAAACACAAATAAATTCCCACTAAACCGCAGCCAGCTCCAAGTTCTAAAACTCGACATTCCTGCAAATAGTGTAACGGAAATATATCTCGATTATCGAACATCTTAGCGAGTGCAATACTTCCATCCCAAACAGTTGTTCCAAGAGCTGTGTAACTCTGTCGAAGTTTTATGAGAGACACGCCATTGTATTCTCCTGATCGATCAGCGTCAGAACCCCTATCAACTTCAAGTTCAAATGGATTTTCGAACCGTTGTTTTTCAGGTTTGTACTCTTGTCGAAGCCACATGATTAACGGGATTGACTAAGATTTTGGATGACCAAGGAAGCCCAGTACTGCATCCCTGCTGCAAAACATACCAGGCGCAACTTTGTACCCAAGCCTCATAGTTAACCAGTCGATACGAGAAGTCGTCAAAACAACTTTTGATTTGCAGCAGAGGTATTTGCCAGTACTTTTGGAACAGTGCAAAGCAACGGTGCCAGAACACCCCCGTTACACTAAGCCATCAAACCTGCAATTAGTTCAATTTTAAACAGAGCCGTTTCGTATGGGTAATCACATGAGGCCAAGTACTATTAAGGATTAATTGCACGAGAGTTTTCAAAATTTTCCAAAATCTTGAAAACTCAAGTGCAATTAATCCTTAATATTACGAGGTCTCATAGGATTACCTATACTTATCAATAAAGGGCAAAATTTATACGAAGGAAAATCAAAACTTCAAGATAACGAACGGTTGCTATGCAACGGATTAGCCAATCATTAACAGGTAATCATGCCCTCTCTTGATTACTAAAAATGCCCTCGATTAAGAAAAAAATGCCCTCTCTCTCAACCAATCAGCGCTCAGTAATTTTGCTCTTTATTGATAAACGGAGTAATCATCTAGGTCGATGTAGTGAGACCTAGTGAGTCTTTTTTCTTGTTAGCGAGACGTTTTCTCACTTTGATTCGTAAGAGAAATTTCATTTATTCCACCGGGCTGCTTTTTTATATCAAAAATCTCAGCTCCACTTCACGATCAGAAGCCGCACGCTTTCGAGCTAGTTACAAAGATTTCACTACACGCCTGACTCTGCGCGCCAACATTGAGCAAAAACCCCATGGGGTCTCCTTAAAACTTGTTATTTTTTGACAAACTCTGACAATGTGGCAAACATCTTGTTTGATTAAACATTTGATTTTATCAAAACTTTGTTTGATCGAACTCCTGTGGTTTAGAACAAGTCCTAAGCGCTATCTAAGTCAAGCGTTCTTATCCACACTGGCCAAAGTGACGTCAGAATTCATCTTTACTCTCATTAGTCAGGTGAGAAGGAGCCAATTTGCAAGATTTATTAGCGGTCAGCGGTCAGTCACAAACTGAACGTTAGCTGGTAATTGATTCATCAACTATTACATAACGAGCCACTGAAAGTTAGTTCGTTATGTAATAGTTGATAAATCAATTACCACCCCCCAAAAAACAACAACTTCAACGACAACAACAGCATGACGAAAAGTGATCGTATTATGACCAAAACGATTACAGAGAGATCTAAGGAAGATTTGAACGGGACTGTAAGTAAGGAGTGAATCTGTACTGAACTGGTGAAAATACAGCATTTTCATTTTTTTAACTCGTTATTTTTTAAAAAACTCTAACCTTGCGGCAAGATCACTCATTGTTCATCTCTGGCGGATGATCAATCATCTCTTTACGTCAATTAAAATGATCAGAAGAAAGCAGCGTCGAAAGACTGAAAGGCAAAAAGAGAAGGTTAAAGGTAACAATATTTCAAATGAACTCATATGTCAGATGAGAAAGACAACATTAAGATGCGAGCGAGAAGAACTCCCCCATCGATGCTGGAACTGTGTGAATATTATAAAAAAAAACAGGCTTTGACGTTTGGCTCCAAAGAACATTCAGATGTTGAAGAAAATCAAACAGGAACAGCAACGTCAAAAGAGCAAGCACGATTAAGGAAGAGGCTCTTAGGTTCTGCCGCTGCAAGCTCGAGTAGTTATGAACCATCAGAATCTAGCTCATCAGGCCACATGTCCGTACACAAATCAAGGATTTTCTCCGTAGTGTGCGAAGATATTCCTTCGTTCTTAGAAGAGGCATGCACTGATTTACCAAGAGTAAGGGCTCGCAAAGTTAAAATAGTGGCGGTTAATGGTAGAAAAGATGGCAAAGATGAATACCCCTCTTTTCACAGTCCAGAAAGTACGAGCAATAAAAGCGTTCAAATGGCCTTGTGTTACACAAAGACCTCCAACGCTAAACAGGACAAAGGTATGGGGGTACATTCAGGCGGCAGGGCCAACATAAATGTATACAGGAACTTGCAAGAACAACAACGACGGCAGGCCACGACAGGTGTGGGGTGTACTGGCTGCACTTTCCCGCCGATACAGCCACCCACTGCGGTGTCACTAATGTCTCTACCCCCGACAGAACCAGGGCCACACAACAAACTGGCTGCCAGCACAGGCCGCCGATTTGGTCGACTAGAAATTTATCAAGAACCAAGAAGTCAAGAAAATCGACGGCAGGGTGTTTGTGAGAGCAAAGATGGCAGTGGCGTTGAACGAAATTTCGTTAGAGTTTTGAACAAAAGATTTTAGTCGATTGTTTCCTTGTTTCGTTTCTAACGCGAAGATACGTCTACGTTGATATTCTAAGTCGACGTCTATATTGATATCTTTCCTTAGAAAAATTTAAATAAAAAATCGATCGTTTGTTGATCATATTTGAACAAATTTTAAAACTACATAATCTATATTGATATAACAGTCGACAGTGTGGCTGAATTTAGACTGTGAATTAATAACTGTGGTTGGTATCAACCGTGTTACTGTAAATAGAAAAATCAATTGTCAACATTCCCGGAGTAAAACATTAAAAAAAAGGTTCAAAGATGCAGCGCTACTACTGCTGCTCAAAGATAAGTCGTAAAAAGTCATGGTGATAAGTGAAAGTGCTGTTTGCAGAAATGAAAGAGCTAAATCCAAAAGTTCTAATATGTAATTGGAGTATGAAAACAAAATATCAAGAGCTGATAATGGGATGTTATGGCGTCACGGAATCGAACCTCACTCTCCTTGACCGCTCGTAATTCTTCGCCGGACAAATCTTTGGGATCAGCGACGCCATCGCTTTTGGCATCGACACCGTCATGTTCAGCGGGCCATACAGTCGAACAGATTCAGCGTAAGAGATAGACAACCACATTTTTATTGGCTGCCTGATGTGACTGACGTATGACGTGTGTTGGAAAAAACTCAAAGGACGAAAAGAGATGTTTAAAAATATTTTCAAAGCAGGGCACTGAAGGCTACGGGTTGTGGTAAGTTCTGTCTGTGAAAACATCTGATTCACTACCATTAATTTGCCAAAACTGCATCAAACCTCTTCCAGTTATGAATTATGTGATAAATGACGTGGCGGAAGAGAATTCTGATATGTGCGATAGAAATTGATAGAAATTCATAAACGGCAAAGTCGGTTTTGACGTTTTTAACCCCACCTTGACCTACCAAACATTGACTAAGTTCGACGAATTAACTGGTATTTTAACCGGCATTGGACATGATGATTTCTTTCAAGCTACTTTCTCTGACGATTAAATTCCGACACCCTCTGAGTTAGTCGAAAGACTATCTATTAACACACTAACCTCGCGCAGAATTCCAACCGTTATGTGAAAAATATGAATTCATAATGTCCATTACAATAGCTTAAATGATATTCATTTTGTTCCTTGCACTGAAGGAAAGATAAGGACAGACGGATGTTTGTTATCCTACTTTTGAAGCGCCACTTGATGAAAATATATTTCGGTTTTGTACGTCTAACTTTTTTTACCGATGATGTATGTGAGCATGCAAAAATGAAACAATTCACTTTGGTTTCAGGTGACATCCGGTCTCAGCATAAATTGTTTTGCAAGAACCGTTGGATTTTTAACCCAAAATTGCAATCAAGACTTGTTACAGTACTGAATTGGAGCTTCTGTCTTGAAAAGGTAAGCTATTTGTGCTCGATGACTATCTCTTCATGAGCTGTTGATTTTTCAGGAAGTGCGATTTGCGTCATCGGAGACAAACTTGGTAATTAAGAAGAACGGCTGGATTGATCAGTGTTGTACCCTTACAAAACAACACATTGCCGTCTTCGTTTATCTCTTAAGGGTGTTAATCTTAATAAGACGGAAATATTGTAACAATCGCGTGATATCACGATCGAGGGGATCTCGTTTCATATAAGTGAGGATCAACAAATGATACATCTTTTAGGGAGGGGAGGGAAAGGGGAATAATGAACCTGGACTACTCTCACAAACAGGAATTTTCCTAAGAATGTACATCATCGGTCATCGATTTGAGTTTACACATTCTCTTCATTCGAACGATTTAAAGTTGAAAAGTAGTGCACCGAGGGATTAGCCGAGTCAGTCAAAAGTTGAAAATCCCATGTGAGAGCCGAGGTTAATAGTTATGCTCGAAAACTTGGTGAACGAATTTGACTTGAAAAGCCTTTTCCTGAGTAGGTCAAGTTTTTTTCCGCAGATTCTTTTCCTGAAACTCATCGAAACTTTCTTCAAAGAACGAGTGATTTTTCCTTCTTGGGTTAGGAACTCCTAATTACTCGGAAAATTATTTACTTTGCCAGATTGGTATAAATTTTCTCGACGATTCTTGGCTTTAAGCCGATTCAGTCCGTTTACTTTCAGTTTTATGGCGTGACAAGAAACAAAAAAAAATGTTGATAAATTCCCGACTTTTAACCATTTTTATTCTTTTTTTTCCTAGGAAAAAGTTGACCTCCTTTACCTTCATCAAAATCAATAAGGAACATTTCTAACTTCAAAAGGTAATTTGCATCGATCTGACTGTTCTAGAAATCCAAACAACACTAGTATCGTTATGAAAGCTACAAAAGAAAATTATAA